AGGCCATCTGCCGCGCCATCCCACAAATTCACTCTTTTATGTGACGCGTGGTAATCAAGTCATCTAATGTTTCCATCTACTCCATGCTACTGCTCATCTCCACATGCCTGCTTGCCTGCCATTATGCAGCACTACCCATGATGCTGCTGTATATCCTCTTACATACCATTAATCATGTTCAGTGGTTGACAAGTATCACAGAGACAGTAAGAATGAGCATCAAAACCCCTCCACACACAGCCATCACATGGAGACATGTTCATGTAAAGGATTTAAAAGCAAGTAAAGTGACCCTGCTTATATCCCGGAAGTGTGACGGTGTGTGGTGGTGGAGAGGGGCTGAAGGCTTTCACTCTGAATCTATGGAAACGCATGATTTTAAATCAGTGAGGGAGAGAGAGAGAATGGGAGTGTACTGTATGCAGAGGGAAAAGGGTCCAGAATTAGGAGATTAAAGTAGCTGCAGGATTAGGCTCCAGGTTTTAATGATTGAAAAGGAAAAGCTGTGAACAGAGTCTGACACGTTCTCTCTGGCCCCTCTTCTCCTCTTCACTGCCTCTCTCCAGAGCATGTGTCTCCTTCTGATTGTGTGGACAGCCTGCGGGGAGAGCCAGCTCTGCTCTCCATTAAATAACATACATTTGTTTAAAGAACCTTTATGTGTGAGCACATGTTTCCTGAAGCAATGCGGCCACCCTGGTTAACAAATAATATGTGGGCTGGACGGCACATTTCCCATGAGATTTTTACTGTTGTTGCCATTGCACTTGCACACACACTCAGTCATTTAGTGCATTTGCACTCACATGCATAACGCAGACACTGTAAATAACGGGATTAAGGTAATAGTTTGATCAAAGCACATCATTTACAGTAATCAGACTTCCACAGCAACCTGGGTTTACATAATCTGTTTAACGTCTGTAAGGATGTGTAGTTGCTTACTGGAAACATCTTATTAATGCCACAAAATAAGAAGGAAATGAAGAGTCTGTGGTGGTGTTTTGTTTTCATTCTTATTTATTCTTCTTTTTATTCTTTATTCTTATAGTAAAATGATTAGTGTACACGTAAGTGTACTTTTACTTTTACTTTTACTTTACTTTAAGTGGCAGATCACCTCTAAAAATAATTATAGCAAAGCAATTGATTTAGGTCATACCAAACCACTGATAATGTGAAAACAGTCTGTCATTTTCACATTATCAGTGGTTTTACACCAGTATGAACCTGTGAGTGTATTAGACAGCTTGACTGTCGGCTCTGCACTCCCATTTCAGGTGTAATAATTAGGCCTCAGCTCTCTTATCTCCCTTAAAGCCACATTTCATTAACACATACGTACTGCACAAAGTTTATCTTTAAGTGTGAAACTCTTCCTGACTGCTGAATTACAAAAATATCCCAAGACCCTCACTGCAGCACTATATTTTACAAGGATCACTTTCAGCTGAGCTTTAATTGTCAGGAGGGCCGACTGTACTGAAGATAACTCATGCCCTGAAGAAATGAGATGGTAATGTATTGCTGGCCATTCGAAATAAATCTGCAGGGTGCTGTTTCATGCAAATGCAAGGCGCCCTATGTGTCAGCAAAAAGGTAAAAAAATAAAAAAAATACATTTGAGAAAGGCAGATGGAAGACTGTGCTCGGGATGTCTGTAGCAAGTTTTCTCTGACATTCTGTTCTTGCTGAAGGCTACTGTGGTAAGTCTGCCAATACCTGGAAAAAAAGGAGGGATTTCACTTTTCGTATAAACCTGGTGTTTTTCTCCTCGTAGTCACGTTGCTCATTCTGTTATATTGATTGGTGGCAGTTTTAATGGGTGACTCTTTTAAAATTGGCCACAGAAAAACCATTCAGTGTCTTGGCTTTGGATCCAGCACTGTTGTTAGAAAATGATAGGGGGAAAAGCTTGATTTAGTTTTTATCTGTTATGCACTGGGCGCCAAAACAGTAACATCTTCAACTTTAAAGACAGTGCCCATGGTTAGCGCTACCTCTGTCCACTGATAATCACCACAGCTACAATTCGTAGGTTTGATCTGAAATGCTCAAATATTCTGTCAAATAATGTTTTTTTTTTTTTCTCACTCCTGTTCCCACCAGACTGCTTTACCTCTTCATTTCAAAGGATAAGTATTCCCTTTGTTGAAGGGCTGAGCCTATCAACTTCAGAGATCAAATCCTCATAGCCCATCCATAATAAGTCAAAAGGCCAGCTTCAGAGGCTTGTACTGAAAAAGACAAAGGGTGAAAGAGAATTAAGAAGTGAACAGATTCTTATGGAGAGGCCCAAATGCAAATCAAGGACTCTGGTTTTGGATATAGATGTCTGTTTTGTCTAACAGGACTCCAACACAGCAGACTGTGCAGCTTCTGCCACAGTAAACAGGAATTTTAAATCGGGAAGACTTGTTGTTTCAATCCTCTGCATGCATCCTGACTGAGGCGCACTCTGATGTCACTCTTCCGAGCCCGGGAGCCCAGCCAGCACACTGTTTCTGTCCAAGCCAACGCCGAGAGATGAGAAATACGAGAAAAGGAGCTGATGAGGCAATACTCGCTAATGAGTTGCAAAGTGGAATCTTTTCTATGGATTTCTCAGCAATCGACAGCCGGTTGGAGACGGTCTGAGCGTTGATGTTGGTGTGAAAACAGCAAAGACTGACTGGATAGAATAAATTGCCGTCACTGTGTAGCTTGTGAGAGGAACAGCCTGCTGTTTAGAGACTGTGACAAACCCTAATCTGTTGTTAAACCGCTACTCAGAGCAAGAGGATATCTCTATTGCTCCTTGGTGGTTACCAGTGCGCCTGATAAAACTATTCTATTTGTCTGATGTTTAACAAGATAAAACTTCCCTCCCAGCTAACACTCGAGGATTAACGTCTTAACCTCAACATTAACCTGAGGCAACACAGAGCTTAACTGCATGAGGCTGGACGTGCGGTGCTGATAGAAAGCTCTGGGTTAAAACAAAATCATTAGGACTTCTAACCAGGGATGCTGTGGACAGCCAACAGGCTCATTATGACCAGCTGCAGGTGGGACTATGGTTCTGCTCTGGTCTAATGAGAGAGATAGAGAAAATAAAACAGACAAAATGAGAGAACATCTTCAATTCCGCATTCAATAAGTAAGTGCTCTATTGTGAATCAGGTGGAGGCTCTGTGTAATTTGTTGCTCTCTGGAAGCTTAATATCAAGCCAAGATTACACATGGATGTTTCTGTAAATCACAAGAAAACAGCAATTTGATGGTCTCTTGTATCAGTTATTTCTAGTGGAAGCAGGATGCTGGAGAAGACATGAAGGGGAAATGATCAAAAGGGTCCAAAAATTCAGAAGTACTTTGAGCGCTATCTTGAGTTGTTTCTATCTTGAAATTCAGATTGAAAAAAAGTAATTAGGAGTGTCGCTAAAGTAACTTTTGAGAACAAAAGTTCTCCGCGTTTTCGGGGCTGTGCGTCAAAAGAGACACAGCTGTACGGTGATGGGCAGAAATGCATCATTTAGTTAACATGTTACTGTGATGTGATGACTTTCTCAGTAACAAGTAGTGTTTACAATTACAAATTCATTATTTACTTTACAGTTACAAATCCCAGTAACGCTCTTTTTATTAAGGAGAAATCGACTCCAATTAACTCCATAGTTGTCATACATGTTGTGTCTCTTTACCTGCTAGTGTTATCCACTGATAGAGCTGCATTTAAGAATCACCTGGTTTTGCTTAGAGACAATGTCTAGTAGTTAAACCCACAACTTCACTATGAGCACGGGACTCCCCTAGAGCTGCATGCAGTCACCACAGCTAATGTAATGCTAGCTGTCGATGGCCAGCAAATGCTTCCAAAATGTAACCTGGCTCCTTGTTAAATCACAGTACCTCATTTTCAGTTTCTACTCATGTTAGATTAAGAATATATGACAAGTAGTTGTGGAGCATTTGGAGTTTTTAAGGTGTCGTGGTTACATGTCAGGTTTGATCAGGCATACCATGTTACTGGCTTACTGCTTAAAATCCAGTGCTGACCTCCTGGTAAGCCATGAAGAAACTACTGAAAGTAATGATTTGTGTCATGTAAAACAAACGAGATTTAAATATTAAAATTATTTGTCTATTTCTTGAGAATTTTTTCTTGAATCATAATGAACTTTACACGAGAAGATTGATACCACTGTCATGTGTCCATTAAATAGTCTTTGGTACTAGTGGCTGTAAGCATATGAGTTAGCTTAGCTTAGCATACAAACTAGAAACAGGGAGGTAGCCTGGCTCTCTCCAAAATTTCAAAATACACCTATACAAGTCCCTCTAAGCCAATGTTGTTTTTGACCTTTGAAAAGACTGTTCTAGTTTTTATGTTAAGCTAAGCTAAACTAAGCTAAGCTAAACTGAGCTAAGCTAACCAGCTCCTGGCGCAAGCTCCATACATAACACACAAGTAAGAGGGTGGTGGCGATCTTCTCCTCTAATTCTCATTAATGAAGTGAGCACGTATTTCCCAAGCGTCTATCGCTCTTTGTGGGTGAATACTGTGGGTAAAAGCATAAACGGCAAGTCATTTTTCATTTGATTGTGACTTATCCCATAACGAGCAGTAGAAGGTACACACTGTCACACATACACACACCTGGTGATTCATTAGTGAAGCTGGATGAACATTTTATGCAGAGCAGATAGAGGAACAAATGGCACGGTGCGCTGGTTCATGTAGTCATTATTGTCATTATTATTCCACATTCTGGCTGTCTGTAATTACCCACTTCGCTTGCCGGTACACCACATTCTCGTTCTGAATTCTTTCCATCGCTAGCTTGGAGATAATGCAATCACAAAATGAAGAAAAATGCAGAGCTTTCAAATCACAGGGAGAGAGGGGAGAAGAAAGGCTTTGAAGTCATATGGTTAATATTGATGAGGTGAAATAGTTTTGATTAGATGATGATGATTAGCACCAGAGATTTCACTTTTTTCTTTTATTTTGCATCAGCAAGGTCAAATGCCTAAAAATTTCACACATTTTCCAGTTGCTTGATCAGTGAACATGTTACAGAGAGCAGGGCAGAAATTTCTAATCAATGACATGACATATATTATCATTTGACTGAGTGGAAAGAAAATGATTCAAATACTTTTTAATGTTTCCCAATAGCTGTGTGGAGCAAAGAAGAAACACTAACAATCTCTAAAGGAAAAAGACAAATCTTAACGTTTTAATCTTGTATGTGTGACTGCTAGACTAGCTCAGCCTAAGCACTACACTTTTCATTCAATTTTGCTCTGTTGACATGCAAAACCTACTACATTAGAGGTGTGAGTAAACTTGCTGTGAATATAAAGCTGGAGTCCACCGCTCACAACAGATTCTCCCCATTATAAAAAAAAAAAAATCCTTGTCAAGTTTGTTCACCATGTCGCCACAGCAAAGCTCTCTATGCATTATACTTCTTGAGCAAGTCACTTTGCCAGTGCCTCTTACGATCCGGAAACACTCTGGGCAAGCGGATCTTTTTGAAATCCTCAATGCATTTCTTCAGATCCTCCTCCAGCAACTTTCTCTCCTCTTCATCCTCATCCACCCCAAGTGGGGGGACGCCATTCTCCCTCACTGTGGGCCGCGGCAGTGTCTTTAGGTTGAGGGTGGTGGGACGTTGGGGACTCTCAGCGGGAGGCGGCGTTGGGGGAGTAGTAGGAGGGCTGGAGGTGGATGAAGGTTTGGATGACGGCAGAGGTGGAGGCAAGACTGGAGGTGACAGAGGTGGGAGGTCAGGGCTGTCTGTAGCAGGAGGAGGAGGTGGCGGAGGAAGAGGAGGTGTTAGAGGAGGAGGAGAGTCCAGGGGCAGTGGATTCCGAATGTCCAGCAGTGGGATGCTGCTGGTTTCTGGAAGGCTTTGGGTTCGGCCGGTGCTGCTGTGCTCCACTGTGGCGGATTCAGTATGAGCAGCAGCAGCAGGTTCAGGGGTCTCCACTTCAGTGAGAGCTGGGGGGTCAGAGGTCATTGCCTTGAAGTTTAGTGATGAACCACCTGCAACAGAAAGGAGGAATTAGTCATTTAAATTTAAGTGCAATATGAAACATTTCCAGCTAAAATCAAATCACTTGAGAGCAAGAATGAGATGAGAGGATTGATACGCATACACATACACACTCAACATACACATGAGCTTGGAATCAATCCTCTCATTCCCAAAATGTAATCCAACATTTTGGGAACTAGACCTATGAAAATTCATGAGTGAGACGATGAATAGATTATTCATACTCAGGAGTCTGGTGTGTTTGAATTAAGGTCTCAGCCAACAGGGGAGCTCCTCCACACAGAAATTTGATTACATTTAGCTTTTTCTTTTTCTTTTTTTTCTTTTTTTCTTTTTTGGCCTTATCAAAGTGTGTCAGTAGCGTGCGGCTGGCACAAAAGCAAGCACCTCAGCTCTGAGCTTTACAGTTTCCAGGAGCACAGAATGAAGTAAACACATGCTGGCACGAGAGCTTGTCGGAGCATTATGGAAACAGAAACGAGCAGAGAAAGGAGCTCCTCAGGAGAGGAAGGGAAATGAGAGATAAGGAGAGTGGAGTACAGTTTCACCTAATTTCAGAATTCCCCTTTACCTTTGTTTGCATGTATATTATCGTAGAAGGAATGTAGTGACTGAACAGAGCGCGTGAGACCTCTTGACTGAAGCTTGAAAAGCCATTTTTTTAACGGGATGTTGATTTTTCATCTCATCTCTATGTGAGGAGAGAGGAGGTTGCCGCTGTGCGACTTCCCGGAATAGTTGGAGGGGGACATGCACATTCTGCACCTCTTGGTATTTGAAAGCCCATCAACCATTTTGAACTGCCCCCTCTCTCTTTACAAACAGCTTTTAGATACAAGTGGGCGTTCTACTCAGCCTTTCACTGTTCTTAGATTTCCACTGTCTACGTCATGGCTACACAGCCTCAGATTTGCACAACAAACTTAGCCCATGTCCACCCATAAAGCGGATAAATTTCAAAATGCATCTTTTTTTTTTTTTGGCCTTTCATTTCGCACTAATCCTGGGTTTTTGACCCTGGAGGACACACCCCACCGAGCACATTCAAAACCGCCCTTTTTGTGCTGGACCCAGGGTGGACTGGGAAAACAGTCAATCCAAAATCTTACTGTCATGTATGATCTTTACGCAGTCTCAGGCAGACATTTTGGAGAATCTCAACTTGTTCACTTCCTCATGCTGGTTCTGTATTTCTAGAGGAAATCGTGCAAAGCTGCTGGCTCAGGAGAAGAGATCTGAGCTTTTTTTGTTGTAGTTGTGGTGGTGGTACTTCAGGGTGAACCCTCTGAGAGAACAATCAGAAAATGCTCCATGGACTGAAAAAACTTAATACATAAACATTTTTCAATTTACCCGAATGAGTCTGGACGTGGCCGTACACTAAGTTAAACGGTAATGACAGCCCTGCATTCATACTGCTCATGCACTGCATCATCCGACAGAGTCACAGTCACACAATATTAAATCACACGCATTCTCACTCTCACAGTGAAGCAGCCACATACACGACATGCTGCTACTGTATATGAGAATACAGAGGAACAGCTAATCTCTCCCACAGCCTCTCACACATACTCATGCAGAGATATGCAGGTACTAAGTGACACACACACACACACACACACACACACACACACACACACACACACACACACACACACACACACACACACACGTGTAATGACATATAAAGACACACAGGGGCCTGCACTGTTTCCTTCAACAGGGTTCATCATCACGGTAACTCGTCTTATATAACAGGAAAAGCTGCTTGTGTCAAACGGAGGCGGCACAGAATATTCTCCCACTGCCTTGGCTTTCTGAATACCTGAATATGAAAGTGTATGTGTGTGTGTGTGTGTGTGTGTGTGTGTGTATGTGACATAAAGTGTACAAACATGCCCGTATGTAAGAGCAAATGAGTGTCGTCTTGTTTTTGAGCATGAATACTTAAGCATGTGTGTGCTAAATGTACGTGTATGTCTGTGTGCGTGCGTGTGTGTGTGTGTATGTGCGGGTGTGTGTGCGTGTGCGTGTGTGTGTGCGTGTGTCGTTGTATTCTGAGCATGTATTGGCATTTGAAAGAAGGACAGATAAAGACCGAGAGAAAGAAAGAGGATGTAGGGGAAGGAGGGGTGACAGAAGCATGTTCTCCACTGTGTGTGTTTGTGTGTTCGCTGCATCCAGTGTCTCTCATAATGAATACATGTGTTTGAGGGCCGCATGGACGTGGGAGTATGGGGGCTTAGCAGTGTCGGAGGAATAATCCACTGGGGGATGGGCTCCATGCTTTCCTCCACCACTAAGCCTCATGGAGGAGAACAGCGAAAGAGAGCACTCAACCCTTTTCCCCGGGCCACTTCTCCAGGGATATATGCAAAAGCCAAAGCACTTTCTCACACACCCTCTGCCTCTCTCTCTCTCTCAGCCTCTCTTTCAGTCTCTCCCATCTGTTCACTGTGACACATCCCTCTGTTGCCATCATTACTGCTATTAGCAACTCTAATGTGTCACTGTTGCCAGGGTTTAGCACCTCTCCGTCATAAAATGTCTCCTCCGCAGTTTGTAATGTTACATTCACCTGAATCTTTACATTTTACTCAAAAAATAGCACAATGTGTATCACCACACACAAAACCGTGATGAGGTGTGGGAATAGGCACCGCATGGAAAATGAGGTTAGTTTTATCATCCTGACTTAATGTGAACATTTGGAAGTTTCTTTCAAATTAAGCTGAAGTTAAATGTATTTTTTGCCAAGAAATCATCATGCTGTGCGCTGCGTGGCCTTGGTCTTTGCTTTAACTTGTGTGCTTATTTTAAGTAATTTGAGTTTCATTTATATCTGTGCAGCACTTTTGGAGCCTTTCAAGAGCTACGCTTAGACGCTGTTTCCACAAATATGTCCAAAAAACAGTTCAAGTCATCTTTTGAAAAACAGCTGCAGTATCATTGCAGTTTATCTTTACACACAAGGAGTGTTAGGAAAACAGTGTCATTTCAGCTGTTTAAAAATGACTGTATCAGCTGCTTCTGAATAACCTTGAATATGACCGGGTCAATCAGCCTGTGGATACTTTTTAAAATTCACCGCTGACAGGTGTTGTGAGCCGAAGATAACAAACAAGAGGACAGCATCATCTCCATGGTAACGCCACAATGATGTGAGGGATCTAGAGCTACACAAATGCATAGTAATGTCTCTCAGACTGAGAGGAGCCTTTTTATCCACAGTGTGAAGTTGTACATATGGCTCTTCCTGCTGTCCTAAAGGGAGCTCACGCTACATAGGTTTGGCAATTACAGAATATTTTATATCTAATTACCTAGTATTCAGCTCAGATATCCAACATCTGCTTTGTGAAATGATCCGTATGGTGCCTAATGACAGGGTGGGCCTCGCCACCTACAGTCTTCTCATTCATTGTCTTTCCTCTCTGATTGCTGTCAGAACAAATACATACGGGGGTGTAAGCAGACACAGTAATACTCGATTCTACAGACTAACTTTACATGTTGGGGCACAAGCACAGTCGTCCATATCAAAGTCACTGGAGTGCACTCACAAGTCTCTGAGCAATTACAAATCTGTCAATCTGCATAATGTTGAGGAAATGCGTGACGTAAACAGCTGGAGACTGGGGAGCTGCTGCCAAGTAAGAAAAGCAAAAACAGAGTAAAAGACTCAGAAGACAGAGAGAGAGGGAGGTGTTTGAAGTAAACCAATGAGCCAGTCATCAATACTTCACGCACAGATACGGTTTTTCAGTGAATTTGGAATGGAAACAAGTCTTGTTTATTTTTATTTTTGCAGGCTTGCACAAATCTACATCCGCTCCGAGTGTCCTGCTGATTCACCTGCTCCACATGCCTCCTCTTTATCTTCCCCTGCTTTAAACACCCAGAGCTGCTGCCTGGCTCCCACAGCCTGTAACCAGCCTGCCTAAGCACCCTAAAGCCCATCCTGGCGCCCCTCAGCCAGTGCAGAGCCTTCAGCCAGGTTCCAACCATGCCCAGGACTGCAGCACCAAGGACAAGTCTGTCCAGATTACTGATAATTAGAGGGGGGCAGATTAGAGCCCAAGACTCCAGATGGCCGAGGTGAATCCCGTCCTAACAACAGCACTGACATTCACAACTCACTGCTTCAAGCAAGTTACTGCTCGCCATTCTTTCACAGTGGCTTCACAAAGTTGATCCGTAGTTACACAATCTAGTTCTAACTTTAACATTATTTCAAGTGACTTTATATTAAAATGCATACAGTGGATACAGTTATGCTGCTTTGCTATAAAAAGTAGACAAAAATTAACTCCAAAATGATAAAACTTTTCCCCGTCTGCCAGTGATTGATGGCACGCAGTTAAAACTCATCAGATTGAAGTCATTTGCCATCTTGAGACAATTGTTTGCAAAGAGACTTTAAATGTTCACTGGCTTATAATTCTGAAAATATCAGCTGATCAGACAACGGGCCTCTGGGCACAGATACAGAAAAGCACCAAATCTCAAGAGACATAAACACATCCTCATCAACCAACACTGATTAGCAAAACATATGAAACAAACACCCTTAAAATAGGACCATAAATTAAAACGGTGTGAGACTATATTCCATAATAAAAACATGTGAAAATGGAGAACAAACCATTTGACAACAGCATTAAAACAAACCAGGATTAAAATGAAATTTGAATGTGATCATTGTGACTTTTTAATGAAGAAATGTTATGCTGCCTTGCGCTGCCATGCAACTGTGTTGTCTGGGAAATGAGTATAAATAAAATATATATTGCATCAGACTAAAATGTAAGAGTCTAGCGGGGAAGTTCAAGTGCTCCGACTGTGTCCTCAGTCAGTTACTACCACCACTTCCACCTCACTTTGCCCAATCTACCACACAGTATTTCTCTCCTTTTCTTTCCTTTCCAACTGCCTCACCCCTCTTGTTCCTCTTCATATATTTACAGTCTCTGTGGTACTGTAT